CGTTTTGTGCAGCAGTAGGTCTATAAAGCTAGGCCGGCTTTGGTGGAGTCATAATCGCATTTACTGTTCTCATAGTCGTTCGATTGCACAGGCTCACGCACACACAATGTGCGAAGGCCGATGGCGTGAGAGGGGAAAACTGGATCACTGCCTTTGATTGAGGGGAGCGACGTTCATGGTCAGGAGTAAAGCTCGCATCAGCGCTTACTGCTTGCACAATTCATGGTATCTTAGCCTGGCCGCAATGTGACCTGAAAACCGTCTATTCACCATGCTCCTCATTTTTCTACTAAAATTTGCTAATTTTCTGCTTAAATAAACAATGTCCAGTTAGGTTTGCAAAGTGTCCAGTTTAAAGTGAAAATGATCTATGTATTTCGTGATACTTGCTTGCGTTCGCGATGTAGTTGTTGCCATCGTAACGAGACTGAAGTTCAGCGTGGCACGATTGTTCGCGTACCCCTGTGACCCATTGAACTATGCTGGATGGCAATTTCCAATTGCCTTCAGAGCCACTCATTCTAAAATTGTCAATCGTTAGGGGTAAAACTTACTCTGACTCACAATCTAGTCCTCTTCGGAGGTTAGCGAGAGGTCGATGACCCTCTTCCTCTAAAACCTAACGATGGGTGACAGTAGGTCTAAGGGTTATGAGCTCACAGCTCAATTGGCGTAATGAACGGATGTCACGCATTGTATCTGGCGGTGGAAAGGCGCCTTTCGGTGCGCAATGGTTTGCTACCGCCCGCCTGAAGCTAGGCAGCCCCTGGCCAAATTGGTGCGTACCCGCCAACTCCCACTTGCGGCTGGCCGTGGACACAGGTGCGTAACAAAATACGGTCTTGAAACACGTGAATTCTTCCAAATCTTCAATGACTCCCCACTGCATTGTGGGTTGTATGGCAGAGAAGCATCAGTTCAACTGGCTGATGCACTGCTGCTGCTGCTGTCTGATGATGATGGTGACGACGACGACGACGACGATGCTGATGATGATGCTGCGGGTGATGATGACGATGGTGATGGTGGTGGTGGTGGTGTGGGTCAGGTTATTGAGCCAAAAGCTTCTGGGTGAGTCCCTCCAACGAACCTCCAAATCCCATACTGCCTTGTAGGTCAGACTGTTGAGCCAAAAGCTATAGGCAAGGCAACGCGAACGAAGATCCTGTCTCCAAATAGGCTGCCGTAGAGTATCATCTGCCCTCTCAATCACGTCGACAGTACTCCCTCTTCTTCTTCCTTCTCATTCCTATTTTTCTCTCCCTTCTCATTTCTTTTCTTCCTCGTCTGTTAAGCACGAATCTGCCATTAACGTCAAAACTGCTGACATCGATACTTGTAACTCGTTTATCAAACCGCGAGTCTCATTTCCTATTGATCTTTTTAGCGTCCGCATTATGAGTTAGGTCGCTCATCAGGCAGCACTGACTCTCACTCTTCACTTTTTTGGTATTAATGTGTGCTGTGTCTCCAAAACACACATACAGTATAACAGCGTCGTAACGAACCTTCGACTCCCTTGCTCTGAATCGGACGACGATGGCTACACACTTCGCGTTTCTGACGATAGTGAGTCAGTGGTTCAAGGTATTTACGTTGTTGCTATCGCATTCAGCAAACTCGTTGAAAGCAATCTGCTCAACGGGATACCGGTGAACAGCCGCATGTGTGCGGTTCGACTTTGAACCTCTGTTTGGGGTTAATAAGCATCGTATGAAGATAAGGTGCCTTTTCCTCGCCTCCTACTGACTGCAGTTCGGAGAGTACCAATGATGATTTCTACTATCATCTTTCAACTCTTCTCCGCATGGCGAAGAATACTGACACCGTGATTCTTGCAGGTGACTTGAATGCTCAACTGGATCGTCTTTCAGATTCTGAACAGCGCCTAGTAGGGCGCTTCGGAGTCGATGCATGCTGAACAGACAATGGCGATCGTTTCCTGCAACTGTGCGTGGATCACAACCTTTAACTTTGTAGCACTGTTTTCCAGCCCAAACGTGCACACCGCGTCACCTGGCGCCCATTGAATTCCTCAATGACCTGGACCCAAATTGACTGTATTGTCATCAGCTGCAGATGGCGCACATCGGTCCAAGACTGTCGGTCAATTAAGAACACGTGCTTGGATTCTGATCATGTTCTCGTGCACGCACGCTTGGCGCTCACTCTTCCCACTTCATAGAAGCGCCTGTCTTCTATTGTTCTTACCTTTTACTTGAACAGTTAGTCTGCAATTCAACAATATCATAGCAAACTCTCCCACCAATTGTCAGTAATGTGTGACAGTCACAACTGTGTCATGAAGAACGCCCTTAACGCTTGTTGCGCACCCGACTTGAGATGCCGTAACTGTGAATTCATCTCTGAGGCATCGCACAGTTTGATGGAAACGCGTAAACAGGTACCGATAGGCACTGAGTTTCAACCTATCCTTAACTCCCTCAAACGACGTCTGACAAGGAGCCTACGGATGGACCGGAAACGTTAGTGGGTCGCAAAGCGCGTGAAATGGAGAAAGTCAGCGCTATTGGGAATAGCCGAGTGCTATTCCAATTCATCCGGAACACGGGTCCGAGAAGGCCATCTGTTATCGGTACAATAGCTGATAAAGACGAACCGTTAATCCATTTTCAGCCTCGTCGATTTGCCCGCCTTGCACAACATTTTGCGAGGCGGTTTAGCAGGTCTGCTGCAACACTCCTGCTTGCTGATTCACCCGAGCCGACGTATGAACTAGATGTCTCACTTCTAATTTTGGAAGGGATTCGACTTGAGCTCGCCGTGTTATAAGGAAACAAGGCTCCTGGACCCGATGACCTTCATCCATTTTTGCTGTAAGATGGTGGTGACTCTTTGTTGACTGCACTTGCTTCTCTGTTTAACACAATGTCGACCACTGAAGTGGGGCCCTCAGACTAGCGAATAACAATTGTCACTCTCATCATCAAGCAGAGTCAGCGAACTTTGTACGAAAATCATCATTAGCCTTCTTTCCATTGCCTCATAAGTTCTCACGGGTATCATTCTTCGACGACTTCCTGGACCCCGTGAGGTCCGAATCACTGAAAGGCAGGCTGGTTTCGGCCCTGGCCGTGGTTGCATCGACTACATATTTACTCTTCGCCAAGTTTTAGCGCAAAGATGACCGACTATGGTGGTTTTCCTTGAGTTGAACACCGCCTTCGAATCTGTTGACCGCGCCAGCTTGTGGCACTGCCTATCCATAAAGCGCGCGCCATCTAAATTCCTTTCCATTCTGAAGTCCTTCTACTGTGATTCCCGAGGCCGTATAAAGGGCTACTGGAAACTCTCCGAAGTGCCCCACGACAGCTGGGTTTCTCCAGGGATGTCCCATATCTCCTTTCCTCTTTCACTTTGTGATGAAAATGATCATGAGTGACTTGATTCTTTCAGACCATTCTGGAGTGCAAATTCTGTCAGGCAACCGACTGACAAACCTGGAGTATGCGGATCACATTTCTTTTCTTGGGTCGGACGCAGTGGCAACGCAAAAACTACTAGGAAAACTGACGCTGGGCACTGCACTGTTTGGCATTTACATTGTACCTTCAAAGTGCAAAGTGCTGTTGCAGGACTGGGCAAACACCCGATTTTAGCTATTGCTAAACAGCCACTGGAAGTGGTGAGTAGGTTCATGTACCTTGGTAGCTGTGTCACCTCTGGTGGTCACATCACTGAGGAAGTTACTTCGCGTTCCAACAAGGCACATGTGGCTTTCCAGAAGCTCACCCATCTATGGTGACGTCGGGATATCAGCTTGTCAGTGAAAGCTGGATTGTATAACGCTGCGATAAGGGCACTGTTGCTTTATGGATCAGAAACCTGCCTAGTTTGCCGTGAAAATATAAACGCTTGGCCGTTTTTGACCATGGGTGTTTGCGGAGTATTGCTCCCGTTAGGTGGGAACACCGGCTAAGATCGGACACCTGGTCTTTGACAGGAAGTCTTCTGGTGCCTCACACCATTGTTTGATAAATCCTAATCGCTTTCGTTGGCTGAGCCATGTCCTTCGTTTGCCCATTGATCGGCTTCCGCCGCGTGCGTTATACGCCGTGGCCGCACCAACTTAAGCGAAACCGCATGGTGGCCAACCCATGACGTGGCATCGAAACCTAAAGAAATTGAATAAGATACTTGGTCAGGCTGGTGCATGCTGTCTTCCTGGATGGGGGCTTTTGGAAGTTTCACGGCATTGGCTATAGACTGTATCTGACATGGCACAGTCACGTAGTTCGTGGCGTTCATGCATTCGGTTTTTTACTTCTGGTTGTTAATTTTAGTTCCATTCTGATTAGTCTACCACGTTTCCTTATTGATCTAATTTCCTACACATTCTATTTCACCCGACCTCACTATCCTACCGGTGTACTTTATTATTAATCCTACAGTGTGACTCATGGCAACTGGATCCACAGCAGTTCGGTGCTCGAATCATAGTTGATCTACTGAACTGAACTGATTTCGTTGTTCATTTGATCACCGAGCTTGTTAGTTTTGTTGCAAACGTTTTACCACCCATAGCCTTTTGCTTAATGGCTTACACGCAAAGCAACGGAGCTATTTCAGTGAATCACGCCCTGACAGCTAATGACTGTATTCCTGGTTCATAGGTCTTTTCTTCGATCGGTTGCATAACAATGGTCCACAACGATGGCATCTAGTTGCAGGACTATAATGCACCTCCTTGGTGAAGCAAAGGCAGGGGCTTTATTTAGTGGTGATTCACTTTCGCTACGTCGCAGTGTTGGTGAGCACACAATTCTGGATATTTGTCGGGATAGTGCGTTTCATGCGCATATCTAACAGGTTCTGCAATTGAACCTTTCGTTAGAATGTGCCGTCTCATCACCACCTAGCTGGCACTGCGAAGGACAAACATGTATCACCGCGACGGATTTTGTGCTATCTCTTTCGCGTTGCATATTTTCACATGTGTCGGGCTCCTACCCCTTTCTCTTTTCCTCGTCTCATTCCAGGCTGAATCCTATGTGTCTAAGATTTTGAGGCAGTGGTTACAGGATGATGCTCGACACACTGGTGAATCTCCCTCAATTGATTGGTTACCCTTACCTCCACCTGTACCTCGTCCGGTTCGCAAATTCACGCCAGCTGTAGCGTCTGGTCTCTTGGGGTTAATTCGCTGTCCAACCTTCGTTCGTCTACTGCGCGCTTTGCTGGACGTTGCTTTGGATCATGGAACAAGCGCGATTTGGTGGTCTGATACTCTTCTCGACTTGGTGCTTCATCTCATTCAGGTCGCATTGTACGAGGATGAATTGGAGCACAGGTATGCTCGCGTTTTCTTTTACAGTGTGCTTTGTCTTTTCATTTCAATTCAATTATCTAACTGTGATCCAGTTGTCACCACTCCCGTCGCCAGAATAAAAGTGTGTTAACATGGGAAGAAAATACAGTGAACGCAAGAATAATGCAACAAATATATAGTCGATAAAGAAATGTGTTGACTAATCAGGATAAATGAATATTAACAACTAGTTGCATGCAACCGAATGCGGGAACACCACTGAGTACGCGACTGTGTCATATTCGAGAGGGTCTATAAACGTTGGTGTGGACAATCCCGGGGCCCCCATTCAGGAGGATCGTATGCGACAACATGGCCAAGTCTCTCTAGTTATTTTTGTATGTATTCTTTCCACTTCATCGACTGTCTTGCGGATTCGTCCAACTCTGTGAAGCAACAGCGATCGGTACACACCGAGATGTGCAGGATGTACCACTCCAATGAGACATCGGATGAATTCTCTCTAAACAGCGAACGGTGAACCTTTCTATTGCCTCATGGATGTTTCCAACAGATTCCAGTGGTGATCACACGCTTAATGTTAAAAGTGTGAACTGAGCAAGCTTCTGATCCATATGGTAACCGGCCTTATCGCAGTGTCATGCACACTACACTTTACTGACAAGCTGAGATCCCGCCGTCTCCGTAACTAGTCGAGCCCTTAGCAAGCCACACGGGCCTTGCTGATACGTGAAGTAACTTCCTCAGTTACGTGACTCCCAGAGGTAAGTGAATCAATTCACCACTTATATAAGTTGTTCGCAAGTCGGCAACTCCTATGATGTGTTGGTCCAGTCCTGCAGTAATATCTTGCACTTTGAAGGCGCAAACTAGTTGTAGAAGCGTGCAGCGCTACGCACCAGTCTGTTTGGCAGTTTTCACACACCCATTGTGTCAAACCCATGCAGAACTACGTCGACGCATTACCTAAGGTTTCCAGATCCATCACCTAGCAGAACCACTCTAGAAGAGTCCGAAAACCGGAGTTATTTATGAGCATTTCGATCAAAATGATGAAGATGAAAGGAGATATAGGACAATCATGGCGAACCTCGCTTGTTGTTTAGAACTCAGAACTTAGACCCTTACCCGGTTTCGGTTGTCACGGTAGATATACTTCAGGATGGAAAGGAGTTTAGCTGGCACGCCCTTCATGGATAAGGAGTGCCACAAGCTGGCGCGATCGACATAGTTTAAGGCGGCTTTCCAGTCAAGGAAAACTACTATGGTCGGTCATTTGTTGATATGTCTCTGGAGATTAAGTATGCGGTCGATGCAACTACGACCAAAGCAGAAACCAGCAAGGTTTTCAATGATTCGACCCCCCTAGGTCGAGTAAAGCGTCGAAGAGGGTTACCTGTGCAAGTTTTGAGGTAATAGAAACAAGCCTAATCTCTCGATGATTTTTGCACAAAGTATGCTGACTCCTTTTGAGGACTTGCTTGACAGTTGATAATCACCATTTTGAATCACCTTTTGAATGTCCCAATTCGTGTGGAATGGAGCAGCAATTCCAGTCAGCAAAGAGTCACCCTCACCTTTCAACACAGATGCAGGAACCTCGTCGGTTCTAGGTGCCGTGTTTCGTTTCAATACCGCAAACTCACGTCTAATCTCTTCCATAGTGGGAGGTGTGACATCTGCTTCCCACATCGGTCCAAGTGATTGGGCAAGCGGCAGTTTCGCAGCAGGATTGCGGAACTGCCCTTCAAAATGTTCCGCCCAACGTGCAAGTCGACGACGCTGAGAATGGATCAACTGTCCGTTTTCTCAGCCATTGTCTCACTTACTGGTAGTTTTTTCGGACCTATGTTCCGGGTGAGCCGGAATAGCCCTCGTCTGTTCTCTTTAACACAGGTTTTCTCTATCTCACCTGACTTGTCATCCACCAACGTTCCCTATTGATTCGAAGACTCATTGTCAGCCGTCTTTTCAAGGCGTTACGAACACGCTGCAATTCACTGCCCATTTGAACCTATTTCCAAGCTTTGTTTAAAATGCTTGATGCCATACACGTCTCGGTTGACATTCGGCACCGTCTTCGTGACACACAGGAGTTGTTCCAAAAAGCGTTCTGCTCATCCATCTGATTCATCACTGACAGTGCGTGAGTCAGTTCGTCATGTTGTCGAACTGCGAACTGCGTGTTCAAGTTAAAAGTGATAGGTTTATAAGTTGGGCGCCTCTTTGAAGAGAAAAGTACAACCACCAAGCGGGTACACCTGAATTCAGTACTCAACGGAACCTGCTTGAGTGCTCCGATAAAACCGTTCGATGTCTCAGAGGTCCGTACACAATTCGGACCTTTCAAACTGGACGTACAGCATTGGCCAAAAGAATTCTTTATGGCATCCTATGGACGATTCCAGTAAATATTCAGCTCACCAACCTCATTCATCACTGACAATGGGTGGGTTAGTTTGTCATGATATTGCTGAAATGCAGACTTCGAGTTCATATTTGGTGTTAGACGCTTTTTTGTAGGTGTAGTAAGCATCAGGCATGTGCGCACTAAAGTTGATCGTAATCCAAATTGACCGACAGTCTTGGAGTGATGTGCGCCATCTGTAGCTGATGGCTGCGTGGTCAATTTGGGTCCAGTCATTGAGGAATTCGGTGGGTGCCAGGTGGTGCGATGTGAACCTTTGAGCTGGAGAATAGTTCTGCTAATATGAAGTGTGATCGGCGCACAGTTGCAGGAAACGATCACCATTGTCTGTTCGGCTTGCGTGATTCCCGAAGCGGCATCCTAGGTGTTGTTCAGATTCCGAGTAACATTTAAGATGTCAGCATTTTTCGCGGGCCCATGCCCTAAGGATCACAAGTCTGCCTTGTAATCTAAGAGCGCGGATTCTAGCATGCGTAGCAACCGGGCGATCCTCACGGTATCCTTAGCTACCTTGCGATTGGTGGCGGTTGCGCGAAGCGGTACTACGTACCGGCGTATTGCCGATTCCTATTTTTCACCATACGGAGATGAATGCTGATGATAGAAATCGCTTTCGACACCCTCCGTACTGCAATTAGCCGGAATCAATAAACGACTCGCCTTTAGACGGTGCTTATCAAGCGCAACAGAGGTTCGAATTTGAACCACATACATGCAGCTGTTCACTGTTATCCAGTCGAATAATTCTTCTTCAGCATGTTTTCTGAGGGCGATACCAACACCGTATACCCCTTGAGCTATTGACTTAATGTTGTCAGATACGCGAAGAATGTGGTCATTGTAAGCAGATTCGGAACCAGGGAGTCAAAGACTCGTCACCACGCTGTTCTATGCGTGCTTCGGAGACACAGCACACATAAATATCAAGAGTGTGAAGAGTGGGGCTCAGTGTTGTCTGTCGATTTCAGCAGGAGTTCTTACCTTAAACAAACCAATTTTAGTAAGACTCTTGGTTCCATGGACATGTATGGATTGCAGCTGTTGCGATTTCGGTGACGACATCTTGCTCAATAGACGGAGAAGGTAATCCATTGAGGAGATGAAAACAGGAAGATGAAGGTGAAGAAGTAGTGGAGGGAGTATTGTCGACGGGTAGAGAGGGCAGATGATACTTTCCGGCTGTCCATTCCGAGAGAGTTTTGTTCGAGGTGCCCTACATCTATCCTTTGATTCAATAGCCTGTTCCAAGCATTTTAGCTCGGGCGTTTGAATACATAGACCCATTGCGATCTGCTTGAGGTCTGTCACACTCCGCCTTCTATGATTTTCCCGATTAAAAGTTTTTCGATAAACCAGATTATGCGACTGACTTAGTTTTACTTTTAAACTTTGTCGTGTCTGGTATGATTGGCTCTGAAAGCACCTGGAAGTTTACAGTCGTCGTGGCTCAATGTGTCAAGGAGGTAATCAAAACCATCGCAACACGTTCAGTTCTAATCTCGTCGCGATGAACTCTGAAGACACAGCACTGCGCGTCACTCCATTCATTAGTGCTGGAAGTGCAACCGGGTTCGACCCAAGCAGAGCTATGGCGTCCCC